TATCTATCCAAGATGCTCATTGAACCCCACATAAGGTAGATCCCAAAAGAAAGTCACCAAGACATACTATAATCAAACTTACCAAAATCAAACACAAAGAATTTAAAGAGCAGCTAGGGATAAAAGAAAAGTCATCGACAAAGGACAATCATTAGAATAAACTCGGACTACTCAGCAGAAACCATGCAGGCTAGAAGACAAGGGGATGACATATATAAAGCCTTGAAGGAAAATAACTGCCAGCCAAGAATTATATATTCAGCAAAACCATCACTCAGATATGACGGTGAAATTCAGGCATTTCCAGACAAACAGAAGTTCAGGGAATTTGCAAAAACCAAACCAAAATTACAAGATATACTAAAGGGAGTCCTACGGTTAGATAATAACACCAGCTAACAATGCAAGACTAGAACACAGGACAGAGCAACCAGATATTGACTCAGATACGGATATCAAAAACACATCAAAGATAAAATATTGAAAATAGGGAAACAGATATCAATATGTAAAAAAGCACAACATTAAAACAAAAAAGAGGGACTTAAAAAATGCAGACATTGATTTTTCATATGGAGGGGGAGCCAAGGCGATATAAAGAAATAAAAGACTAGTATAAACTTAGAAAAATAGGGTAAATATTAAGGTAACTACAAAGGAATCTAACAATCCTACAAATCAAAATAAAAAAGCAGAAAAATATAAAGACCCAGCAAACACAAAATCTACAACAATGAATAAGTTGCAAAGAAAATACATAAAGAAAAACAACTCAGCACAGAAAATTGAGGCGAACAAAGAAACAGTGAACAACACACAAAAAGAGACATCGGGATGACAGCACTAAACTCATACCTATCGATAATTACACTGAATGTAAACAGACTTAATGCACCAATAGAGAGACAGAGAGTGGCAGATTGGATAAAAAAGCATGATCCATCTATATGCTGCCCACAAGAGATGTACCTTAGACTTAAAGACACAAACAGGCTAAAACTCAAAGGACAGAAAAAAATATATCAAGCAAACAACACTCAGGAAAGTGCAGGAATGGCAATATTAATCTCTCACAAAATAGACTTTAAAGTAAAATCCACCACAAAGGATAAGAAAGGACACTATATAATGATTAAGGGGTCAATACACCAGGAGGACATAACTATAATAAATATTTATGCACCCAACAACAGGGCTCCAAAATACATAAAACAAACTCTAACAGCTCTGAAGGGAGAGATAGACAGCTCCACAATAGTAGGAGACTTCAACA